TTTTCCCTCGCTATATTTTTTCCTATTTCCTTGTTTTTCTTCTTTGTACCTTGTTCTTTTGTTATGTTTTCCCCTCTGGTTTAATGTTTTGTTTATGCTATTTCTCGTTTCATCTGCTTTACTGCATTTTTCGTTGCCTGTGCATCCCTTTCCCTTGACTTATTTCTATGTTTTGGTTTTCCATTTTTGTATTTTTCTTCTTTTTGTTTGTTTATCATTCTTCCTTTTTCCCCTCATGCTCTCCTCTTACACTTCTTTCCCTTTCGCGTTACATAATATCCCCAAACTGCATTTTTATACCCACCTAAAGAGACACGAATGAGAAGGAAGGAGAAAGAGACAAGAGAGGGAGATAAAACCCTGAAGAACTCTCTGAGAGGGTCTGATGGCTTCCTTGCCTCATGGAGCACGGCTTGGGGAGTCAAATGCGGGCTCTGAGAGGGGCTTTGCTGACTCTAGGCACGGCGGATCTCACTTGAAGCTAGGATGGCTTTACGAGAGAGAGAGAGAGAGAGAGAGAGAAGGTTGAGAGAGGAGAGGGAGGACGAGAGAGAGAGGGGAGAGAGAGAGAAGAGGAGAGAGAGAGAGAGAGAGAGAGAGAGAGAGAGAGAGAGGAGAGAGAGGAGAGAGAGAGAGAGAGAGAGAGAGAAGAGAGGGGATGAGAGGAGAGAGAGGAGAGAGAGAGAGAGAGAGAGAGAGAAAGACCGAGAGAGAGAGAGAGAGATGAGGGAAGAGACATATATATAGGGAGAGAGCAAGAAGAGGGGGCGCAAAGGGGAGAGAGAGAGAGAGAGAGCGAGAGGAGAAGAGAGAGAGAGAGAGAGAGAGAGAGTTAAGCCGTGGCCGAATGAGTAGTCGTCGCAGACAGAGTGGCGTCTGGCGAATCTTACGCTGTGAAACAGATTCCGATACAAAGTTTGTAGAGTTTATTGGTGGGAGACCGGCACAGCTGACGGACAGAGGTCTAGTCCGATCAGTATCGTGTTAACTGTCTATCTATTGTTATATACAGGTTAATGTGGAATGTTGGAAGGGTGAAGCTTAGTAATAAAAGAGGGAAGGAGGGAAGAGAGAAAATAATTTGTTTGTGTTAACAGTGCGGTGTCACATCGAAAGATATATGGAATGTCGCATCAGGTGATCTGTTGCGCAGGAAGCTTGGTACGTGTGGACTAGTGTAATTGTATAGGGTATATGTGTAAAAGGTATACAGTATATTATGTGTACAGTAGAAGGAGAGAAGGGGGCACGGGTGTTTATACATATGGGTAATCGTAGGTATTGCAGACAGAGAGAGAGAGAAAGGCAGAGACAGGGAGAGGGGTGGGGGTGAAGTGAGCGAAAGCAGCATTAGGTATCTGTAGATAACAGAGAGAGAGAGAGAAACAGAGAGATAGAGACAAACAGACAGACAGAGAGAAACAGAGAGACAGACAGATAGAGAGAGCATATAAAAATAACGAGAAAGGTTAGTTAATAGATATAAAAAAGGTTGATGTAGATATACATATACATACGCAGACCAGATGACAAAACCAAAAATAGACAGAGAGAAAAAGCAAACACGAAAAATTAGATAGCTACGCAATAGTAAACACAGAGACATATAAAAGAAGAGATTTTGGGAAGAGGCCAAAAACATCAAGTTATATTGACTGATCACCATAAATTCTGTATTAAGTCCTAGTGACGCCTGAACGCTTGCCGGCAATGTGACGAGAACTTTCATAAGAATTTTATGGCCAACTTTTACCAGCCACTGGAAAAAAATATCAAGATTTTTTTATCTGTTTCGGAAGAACGCATATACGTCTTTTTGTATCTGTTCTGTATTGCGGCCTCGGTATAATAGTTGTTATTTTTATATGTTTTGGCAGTTCATTATTATCATTTATGTTACTATGATCAATATCACTTTCATATGAATTTTATGACCAGCTTTTACCAACGACGAAAAAATATAAGATATATAGATTTTTTTATCTGTTTCGGTAGAATGCATACCTTTTTGCAAGTTATGTCTGTTTATGTATTGCGGCATCGGTATGATAATAACTATTTTCAAAAAATATCTTGTCCTTTTATTGTTATTTATGCTATTATTATCAGTATCACTGTTAAGCATACTATTGCGCCCGTATGACAGTCAATGCTTTTAACGGTATTTAATGTTCTGACGCCATTACGTTTGTATGATGATTATTACAAAGGATTGAGATTAATTTTATAGGTGAGATGTCTATGGCCAAGGGACCCTTTGATTCTATTTTGGAGATGTTTCATTTCAATTTATGGTTCTAGGGTGATATTAAGGGTTCTTTATTGGGGCGAACTTCGTAGGAAATGAATCTGCTTGGAAGAGAAAAATCGCTATCTTTGAAAAGTTCGTCTCTTTCTCATTCACTCTCTCTCTCTCTTTCTATTTCTATTTCCTTCTTTCTTTCTTTCTTATATTATATATATATATATATGTGTGTGTGTGTGTGTGTGTGTGTGTGTGTGTGTGTGTGTGTGTGTGTGTGTGTATGCGTAAATATGTGTATATGCGTATATTGCTGCATTCAGTGTCGTATTCCAAATATCATATGCAGTCAGAAATATAATCCCCCTAAATTACTGCTACCAATATGTTGGGGAAATTCTCAAAAGAGTAGAGTATACAAACCTACATGCCCTTCAAATGTAATGAACGTTATTACATGTATGATAGTGCTGCCATCTCCCGGGTTTTCGGATTTTAAGAAAACTCCGAGAAAACCCAATTTTGTCTTATATAATTTGATGTAGTAGTAAGACATAATGGTCTTGAGGCTGGATTTAATTAATTCTTCTATTGAGCTTGTACTAAAGATACAATGGTCGTAGAAACATTTTTAACCAATAACTTCTTACTTTAGAAAAATAAATAACAATAAACAGGTGGTGTATCACAATGTAAATTTTAGCAAAACGCATTATAAGGAAAACAAGGGATATAATTTTCTCCCAACTTAATCCAATTCTAAGGTTAACTGTGATTTTACATCCTCTTTTGCCTGCTAATTACAAATCAGTGATAATTACAGTGAACACAATAAAAACAAATGTGAGACGGTATCGAGACAGCCAACACCCCATTCACACGGTATTTCCTTTCTTTAATTCATTTAAGTAACCGATCCTTCCCTTCTTTCTTGATTTTGATTGCTTTGATATATAATTCCATTCGCAATCTGTCTCCCTCGACTTGTTCCGTTATTGTGCCCACGGGTCTAAAAAGATAAGAAAAAAATAAAAATAAATTCTAGACTGGCGAATCATGGAGTGTTGTTTTTCCCGCGAATTTTCCCCAACCTCTTTCTCTCAGTGTGCGGGGCGAAGCAATAATTCCGTCTTAGTGATCACAATTCAAAACATGGATTCGCAATTATATTACTTTACTTGCTAAGCATTACACCCTTCAACATCCGGGTAAAACATGATTTTAATGTCATCACTTAACATACTTGTGTGCGGAGTGAAGCAACGATTTCGTCTGGCAAAGGAACATGACAAGAAAGCGGTTTAAAATTAAATCATGAACATTTAAACAAACCAACTCATTTCTTGATCATTACTATAATTTACTTGATTAATCATAAGACTGATAGAGTTTTGCTATACTGATATGCCTTCAAAATGAAAATAAATAAACGTTCATACAATGTCTAAACACCTTAGCAATTGTAGCTAATGCATCCCTTAAATGTTGAATCAATAACACACACGTATATGTGTGTGTATGTGTGTGTGTGTGTGTGTGTGTGTGTGTATGTGTGTGTGTGTGTGTGTGTGTGTGTGTGCGTGTGTGTGTGTGTGTGTGTGTGTGTAGTGATGTTGGTTCTTCTTTGGAAATGGTATTTTATATTTAGTATCCTTATCAATGCTGATACTGTTATTGATATAAACGGTAATGGTAGTGACACTTTTATCGTCAGCGTCACTTTCATTAACCTTATGATTTTTACGGCTTGTCTGCTCTGCATTGACATCCTATTCTGTCATATTCTGTGTTCCTCGTCTTAATGATCCCTGTTAATAACGAGTATATGACCTTTCCACATCATTTTCCGTGACTTATCGCTTTGCTTTAGAGCTGAAACTACACTTGGTTTATGTATGTCGTTTTCCTTATCTATATTATTAGCATTATTTTCTTTAAAACCTACCAAAAGCATTTTTTCCCAATTTCTTATGACACATAACATGTCTTGTACATGTATTTAGAGATCAAGCTAGCTTATAAGCGATGAAATTGCTGTTTCATTAGAAATGTTTATCTTTATACATATAACTATTTCACTTTTATGTTACATTGGCTCAGTGGGACATTATCTTTAAAAGCCGAGTTGAAGCCGCGTTGCTTTGTTCGTAAAGAAAGGCGTTTAAAATAAGTATTTTCTGGGACTGTGAAACATAGACTGTGTAAATGTGTGTGTGATTGGTCTCCATACGCATGAGAACACTACAGGTGTGTACTGAATATTCTATAAAGAGTGATACGGTATTTTTATGTCGTAATAAGTTGTAACATTTAAATGTGATCGTAAATACTGTCATGTCTGTCTCGTCCCTGTCTCTCGGTCTCTCTCTCTCTCTCTCTCTCTCTCTCTCTCTCTCTCTCTCTCTCTCTCTCTCTCTCTCTCTCTCTCTCTCTCTCTCTCTCTCTCTCTCTCTCACTCTCTCTCTCTCTCTCTCTCTCTCTCTCTCTCTCTCTCTCTCTCTCTCTCTCTTCTCTCTCTCTCTCTCTCTCTCTCTCTCTCTCTCTCTCTCTCTCTCTCTCTCTCTCTCTCTCTCTCTCTCTCTCTCTCTCTCTCTATATATATATATATATATATATATATATATATATATATATATATATATATACGTACATATATCCCTCTCTCTTTCTCCGTCTTTCGCCACACAGAAAACGTAAAAGTACATCAGATACGTCCGTTTATCCCCCGTGTTTCGCCATGGTTTACTGGCGTGGGCAAAGAAGCGAAACTTTTCCCGTTGGACTGATGAATCGCTCCGTGTTAACGACGAGGTTCTCCGCCTTCGACGACATCAAAGGACGCCAAAATTATCTCGAATGACCATTCCTATGCGCGGGTGAAGCGACGAGAGCAGGTGATGGTAATAAGAGAGAAGAGAGAGAAGAGAGAGGGGTGGGGAGAGAAAGAAAGAGAGGGAGAGGGAGGTGGAGATAGATAGATAGATAGATATATATATATATATATATATATATATATATATATATATATATATATATATATATATATATATATATATATATATATATATATATATATATATATATATATATATATATATATATATAGAGAGAGAGAGAGAGAGAGAGAGAGAGAGAGAGAGCCTATCTTTAAAAGCAAAGTAAAAAATGTTATCGAACTTCAGTGTCGGATGTATGAGTGACCTTGTGCGTAATCTCCTGAAAAAAAAACTATTTTTCTTTATTTTCTATATTCACTTTAATTATACTGGGAGAGGCCAGTCAAAAAATATTCAACTTACTACTATGCTAGAGAGAGAGAGAGAAGAGAGAGAGAGAGAGAGAGAGAGAGAGAGAGAGAGAGAGAGAGAGAGAGAGAGAGAGAGAGAGAGAGAGAGAGAGAGAGAGAGAGAGAGAGAGAGAGAGAGAGAGAGAGAGAGAGAGAGAGAGAGAGAGAGAGAGAGAGAGAGAGAGAGAGAGAGAGAGAGAGAGAGAGAGAGAGAGAGAGGAGGGGCATTAACTATGAGAGCAAACTAGGAAAAATTGTTAACGAACTTATGCAAGTTTCTGTGTCGGGAAGTCTATGTGTGATAATTTGCGCAATCACCTCAGAAATCATTTTACTATATTTACTATATTCATTTAATTACACCGGGGAAAGGGGTGTCTATTAAAAAGAAAAAAAAAAAAAATCTTTAACGTACTCTTATGCTGCCATCAATGCACAAGACAGCGGACCGGACCGGACATTCTGATAAATGTGTCATAGGATTATCATTTTTCACTAAGTACGTTGTGTATAATAAAACACAAAGCAGATACATATTTACAGTTAAAGAAGTTTTATTTAATGCATTCGACTTCGTATTAATGTACTTTAATATTTATGGGACCTGTTTACCGATCGAAAAGGTAATACTGTTAATATAGACTTCAGGTGTTTGAATATATCCTTGAGGTTTAGAAGTACACCTCGTATTTGTTTTCTTATCTAAGCCTAAAATGAATATCTGATGAATCATCAAAATTTCCAGTGAAGGTGCCAAACAGTAAAGTTACCCATCAACCACGCAAGAAATTTGGTTTTCTTCTATAAGGTGTCAAATAAAGTAAAAAAACACTTTGGATTACAAACTTTAGAAATGTAATCAATTGTTCAGTGATTAAAGGTATTAATTTGGGATTAATCAGCATAATGATATATGATTTATTACCTTTTACAAATTAAAGAAAAATCAGAAAGATTTAGTTGCCGAAGCTCATTTGACCCCAGAGTGTGACTATGTAAACATGGCCGACGAGAAAAATTCGTACGAGTTACATCAAAGTGTCTTTAATGGTGACATACGAAGGGTCTCTGCTCTCATTCGGACTTATGACGTTGCCAAGAAGGATAAACATGGTAAGAAAGAAGAAAAACGGCTATACATCGTGTAATATTGGAAAAATAAGACGTTAGTGATGCGGTTCCTGAGATCCGAGGGATTAAATATTTCTTTGTTTTTTGTTTTTGTTTCACGTTTTGGGGGAAATATCATCTTATATGCGAAACTAACACAGTAGTGCTGGTTTTCTTTTCCGATTAGAGGTCAGGCAACAAGCCGGAAGTACAACTGAGGAATTTTCCTCCTTTATTTTTATTACTTTTATTCATAATATTATCCAAACAGACCACCTGTTAATCTTGTGTTTGATTGATTTTTTTTAAGTGACTCTAGATAGATATATTGTGATATTAAAGCTTTAACAGTTTTTGTGTCAAGTAAGGTGTAAAAGAGGAAAATTTGTGAGGAAATATGAGGTAAGTAGACTTTTTCTGTAACTATGGATGTGATGCCTTAAAAGGAGAGCAGATATACTGTCTTTTAAACTTGGATGATTTTGCATTTTGTTCACTTTATTTTATTGACTTTAATGGTTCCAAATTCACCTTGAAGCTGTATTGTTTTTGATATCATCTGCCAGTTTACTTCTAGTGTTGAACGTTAACCCATACTGGCAGGCTAGTGGAATGTCTACTGTACACTAGAGGCGTTTTAATCAGGGAAAGTTCTTGCCTGAAATCTCAAGCGTTTTTCTTGCTAACTCAAGCTTTTCACTTGCTTTCTCAAGCGACCTCCATAGATGGCTAGACGTGCTTGCTAAGTCAAGTGGTGTACCGTCACCATGGCAACAGCGTCGGTACTGGTCATGATCCTTCGAATGTGGGCGTTGGCCAGGAATAATATCTTATCAGATAAATAATTTTTTCACGGTATCTGATTCTGTAATTTTCTTAAATTTACTTATAAATAACAATTTATTGTAAGTCAAATAATTTACCTCCTATTGTTAAACTCGTCTCTCTAAATCGAGAATATATCTACTATTCTATGAAATAAAGAATATTTCAAGTAAAAAAAGTGAGAAATTCTAGCAACATTCTTCTGTTGATATTGTATTTGATGATTTGTTACATTTAACCTCATAAAATTGGATATATGGGAATGGGTAGGCCTATATTTTAATTCAGGGTCAGAATGAAAGGGCTGTAAATTGGAAGTGTGTGTCATTGTTTTAGAGGCACTTTATATGAATATAGGAGAAAATACTGCGCTTTGTTAAGATGTTTGGGTAGATTTACTCTGCTATCTTGATGCTGTGCTAGCTTGTCAGTTGATGTGAATTGCGCACTCAAACTGTTACCAACCGCCAGTGAAATACACTCCACCCTCGACTTGTGCATAAGTCATCTCTTTCCGAGATTGTTGGTGGGAATATTGCTTTTAAAACCCAAGTATATATATTTTGTGTGTTATTTTGATATTTCTATGCTCATCAAGGACTGTTAAGATTTGTACTTAATAAAAAGACACTTCCACATGTCTGGCATCACTTAACAGGGCCTGCCTGCCTTGGAAGGTGTTTTAAGCAGGGAATGGTACAGCGCTTGGCCTATCGGCAAGAATTCTTGCCCAAGCGCACACTTTAGGATTTCGCTTAATTAAATTTCTTTCATGTGTCTTTATCAGAAATTTTTGAGAAGTAGATACTTTTTTCACAAAAAGTTAAGGAATAGACCTAGTATGCCAGGTGAAGGATGTGTAGTTTTATTATTTGGTATTGTTACTAAGATTAATGCGCCCTCCAGATACTCCAAAGTCCCGAAACCAGCATATCATGCGAACCCAAAAAACAAAACCTAACCTTTCCTACCTTATATTTATTCTCTAGACAGTTGGGCAAACCCGTTTGTACCTTTGTACCAATTATAAGCACTTTGTGCTAACAGATAGAAAACGAACATTAAGAACTCGGGCTGTGTGAGGGTATTTTGGACTTCACAGTAAATTTGAGGCCGCTGAAGCTGTACTTATGTTGTTTCTTACTCTATTTCTTATGCTCTCTAAGATGGCGGTGTCCCTTTCCCTCCATCTTTGCATGTTGCTCTAAGTAACTTAGGCCTATACCTAGTATTTGACTCCTTGGTGCTTAGGCTAGGCAAATCAGTTATAGATTTATCTTTGAATAATTAAACCATGCACTTCAAATACTGCAGCTTAGATGTGCCAAAATGGTTTTTTTTCCTGTTTAGGTCTGGTGATATACCTGTAAGTGCACTTTGTTTTTTTTCCTGTAAACCTTTTTTATTGATTCAGTTACATGTTATACTTACAAACTTGGAATTGATGAAAAACCTTTATGAAAAGTCCAAGTCATATTGTGAGTTTAGATAATATAGAGGATAAGGCAATTTAAGTAATTTAAGTAAATTTTTTCCATATATAGCACCCATCGCCCACAAACTTAGCAGTACATGGAATTGACATATTAATTAGTTATGAAATACTTTTCATCAGTGACATACTCATTCCTGACTGTAAATTATGTTGATAATTATAAATGATAACCAATCAGATATTGGTACATTTAATCCAGTAGATCAGAACATCCATTTTGTCTCACTCAAGCTATGCTAAACTTTTCCACCCATGGTGATGCAAATAGCTGATATTAATTTTGTCTACTTAAATCCACTCATGGTGATACAAATAGCTGATAATAATTTTGTCTATTAATTATTATAGATGTTTTTGGTGAGTTATTGCCAAAGAAGAAATGGTCCGAGTCATATTGCCAGAATGATTTATATACCTGCTAGATATTTGTTGGCCTTTTCTGAAACAGAAAGTGCAGAAGCCACTATTGTTTAGTCTGCCACTAACAAGAAATTTATTTATGATAATTCAGTATTTTGAATTCTGCTGGAAATTTGTTCAAAATTTTTATTTTGTGAATTCCTTCCTGTATCATAGTGGTTATCTTCAACAAGAACATCAACAAAAGAAAATTAGTGTTTGATTTAACATAATGTATTTACTACTCCAGATCATACACAAAATTTATAATGTCAATTATGCCTTCAAAAAATTTACTGATAAATGTTTTAGTAATTGAACATGCAAAGTAGATACGCCTTTTATTAGAGAACTATTATGTATAGGAAGAGACTTCCAGTATGGGAGAAAAGCCTCTGATTGGTGTCCTGTGCATGTCTGGTGAAACAAACAACATGGCGGTGACTTGATACTAGAAGATGATATCACTTTCAATTAGGTTAGGTTAGGTTAGTTTGTACTTCTGTTTATATTCGCATATGCATATGTGTACTGTACGCCTAACCGCGAGAAATCAGATACGGCTGTTGCATCAGTATCACTGGCCTTATGTATATGTGACCTACTTCCATAGTTAAGCTAGTTAACCCTATGCTCCACAAATTCTCAGCCACCTGATTTTTCCTTTTCTTTTTTTTCTTTTTCTTTTCTTTCTTGAAATAGCCATTATCAGTATTGATGCTATTATATTTATTGTAGACATTATAATTATTATAATGTCATTAAATGGGCTTCTTAAT